CCCCGGTTAATAAATTTATCTTCTGGTTTTCCAGATAAAAAAAAAAAGGAAACAAAAAAAGAAAAAGAAAGCTATTTTGGGGCCCAAGGAAGAGATGAAAGGTCTTGTGGTCAAGGTCCTTGAATCTCACTTCAACTCATCTTCTTATTATCCCTTAGCCATTTTTGGGCCCAAGGAAGGGAAGAAAGGTCTTGTGGTGAAGGCCCTTGAACCTTGCTTCAATTCATTTTATCCCTCAGCCAATAGATACTTCCTGGAATTAACTAAGCAGACTAACCAACTTACAAAGCTCCTGGTCATTAAATTTCTCCTGGATTTAGGAACCCAAGCTCTCCTACTTCCTACCATCTCTGTCCAAACTCCCTTCCAAAGTTTATTTTTTTAATTGATAAGAGAACTTACAATATTCAAAATTTTAAAGAAGCGGTGGACAAAAAGGAGGACAAGAAAGACTCCACTTGTAGTGTGACACATTTACAGATATACATAAAAGAAAATAACCAGTAAAATGCTATGTCTAATTATACCCTCCCACTTCTTATTGGAGATTTTCGTACTCATATCCTTAAAACTCCTGGTCAATCCATAAGAACAAAATAATATCTTGCAAGATCAATGAATAGCTCTCAATGACAATGCACTATCAAAAGTTCATCAGTTACTTTCCTTCCATAGACCCACAAGAAAGAAAAAAAAGGGTGGTTTTCCAAAGAACTCTAACACTATGAAACACAGGGCACTCTATGTGTCACCAAAAAAAAAAAAAAATCAGCAAAAGATTGGCATAGCTGAACTCTCCACTAAACAACCTATGAATGAAGAGCCGATCCTTGAGGTGGTCATCATCTAAGCCTTATCCCAACTACAGAGGGTCAGCTTCATGAATCTTGTTTTGCCATTCCATTCTGTTTAATGTCATATCCATTATGAGCGCTTAAATCATTTCTTACTACTTCGACCCATGTCCTTTTTTGTCTGCACCTAGCCCTTCTAAACCCTTCAACTTGTAAATTGTAATTAATCACTTTTTTCTTACACGTGCTGTAGGTGGTCTTCTATGCATGTGACAAAACCATCAAAGTCTACTTTCTCTCATTCTATCACCTATTGGAGCTATTCCTAGGTTCCTTTGAATGACTTCATTTCTGACCTAATCCTTTCTTGTTTTTCCACTCATCCATCTCAGCATATATATTTCTTCCATGCTCATTTTTTGGGCATGTTTTTTGACTGCCCAACACTCTGCTCCATACAACATTTCTAGCCTTAGAACTGTTTTATAGAGTTTTCCTTTGAATCTAAGTGGTATCCGCCGATCACATAAGTCCAATGTACCCCTCCATTTCTCCCATATTGCTCTAATTCCATGGGCAACATCCTCCTAAATCTCTCTCTTGTTATGAATTATCAAACGAAAGTACCAGAAAAGGTCAAATTAAGTTATCTCTTGGTTTCCAATCCTAAGTGCACCCTGATTTGCACTCCTATCATTTTAAAATTTACATTGCATATTATTCCGTTTTACTCATTTTATAATATCGTGTTTCTAAGATCCTTCATTAGTTCCATCAATTAAAGCAGTACCATTAGCAAACAACAAGCACCATAGGACCTCCTCCTAAATATGTTTAGTTAATTAATCTATGAGTAGTGCAAATGAAAAACAGTTAAGTGCTGAGCTTTAGTAAAGACCCACTGTAACTGTAAACTCTAATGTCTATCCCACAGATGTTCTAACATTGGTTGGTTTGCCCTCATATATATCCTTAATTAGATCCAAATACTTGTTTGGCACTCCTTTCTTTTCCAAGACCCACCATATTCTCTCTCAAGGGACCCTACCATACACTTTTTTCTAGACCAACGAATACCATATGAAGATCTATCTTCTTCTTCTCTCTAAATTTTTTTGTAAATTGACTCAAAAGAAACATAGTTTCCATTGTTGATCTCCCTAGCATAAACCCATATTGGTTATCTAACATACTTGTTTCATGTCGTAACCTTTGCTCGTGAGTTTAATCCCACGATAATTGTTACAACTTTGTATATTGCCTTTGTTCTTAAATACAGGCACCATAGTGCTCTTTCTCCATTCATCAAACATCTTTTCTTTCATTATCTTATTAAATAGTTTTATCAGCCACAACAAACCTACCTCTCTCATACCTTTCCAAACTTCTATTGGAAGCCCATCAAGTCCCATCACCTTTCCCTTCATCTTATTTAGCACCTCCATTACTTCAGTAATTCTAATTTTACAAAGGTACATGTTATTTGTACACTACTAGAGTTATTGATCTTGCCCCATTATAACCCTCTACATGTTTGTTAATAATTTTTCAAGATAGTTTTTCCATGTTTCCTTGATTTCCGCATCTTTTACCAAGACTCTTTTGATCTTCCTCTTTAATGCACCTAGCATGGTTTAAATCTCTGCCTTTCCTTTATCTCATCTTTGCTAATTTATAAATTCTATTTTCTCTCTCTTTAATGCCTAATTATGATAGAGCTCAACACATGCTTTAAATTTTTTCTTTTTAACTTCCTTTCTTATGGTTTTATATTTTTCCAAGTTCTCCCCAGTTTTGGTCTTTTTCCAATCTTTATAACAGTTCATTTTAATCTAATTATATTTAGAACCTCTTCATTCCACCACCAAGTTTCTTTAGCACTTTGCCATTTCCCTTTAGATTCTCCTGAAACACCCTTCGCTCTGTTTTCTTCATGCAGCTAGCCATTACAAGCCAGATATCATTAGTCTTCCTCCTACTATCAGCCTATCTTTGAAATGTGTTAGCTTTTCTCCTTTAGGTTTTACCACCTAATTCTTGGACATCTATTTTCTTCCTTGTTTTTTTTTTTAAATCAGTAAAAGAGATTCATTAAATTAATATCTGAAATTAAAATTTAGCACAACTATGGGATAACTCCAACCAACCCCCCAATATAAAAGTTTACACTTTTTCCCAAAACAATTTATGTCTATCAACCCCCTATTTTGCGAGTACATCTGCCAATTGATGTCTATTTTCTTCCATTTCCTAATTTGCATATCTATCACCACTAATCTATGTCTATGTTGTGAGGTAAAGCTTTTCTATATTGCACTCTTTACAATTTGTCCTCCTAATAAGGAAAAAATCTATTTGATTTATGGTTGATCCACTTTTAAATGTTATTAAATTTTCACCATTCATTTTGAAATATGTGTTTACAATTGTCATATAGTAAGTTATTGCAAATTCTAAAATTGTATCTCTAATCACCTATTTCATTCCTCTCCCCAAACTCAAATCCACCATGCACCATATTATGTCCTACACTCCTTTTTGGAAGGATCCCTGGTGTTTAGTGGGTCCACTGGCTGATGTTTTTCCCTTCTTTTCCAAATTTCTGTGAATCAAGATTCTTCAGTTGCTGAAAATTTTAGCATTTTTGGTGATTCTATCATTTGGACTCCTCTTTGTAGGAGAAATTTGTTTGACTGGGAGGTGGAAGAGTATGGGGAGTTGTTGGGCTGCTCCAAAATCTGATGGTTGATTCGAACTCAGAGGATGAATGGGTTTGGAAGTGGAATGCAGATGGTAGCTTTTCAGTCAAATCCCTATTTCTGAAGTTGTTTGGTTCAGGTCATGAGAACTTCCTTGTTAGACAGATTTGGAATCCAACTAGTCCCTCCAAGATCAATTTTCTGATCTGGACTATGGCCCTTGATAAATGTCTGACTAAGACTAATGTGGAGAGACGAGGTATTCAGATCCTGGATCTCTCTTGTGGTTTGTGTGGAAAGAGTGCAGAAACTACAGAGAACTTGTGCATCCACTGTCCAGTTTCTTCTTTGATCTGGGGGCATTTTCTTAAGATTTAGGAGATTAGCTGGACCATGCCAAAGTCTGTGAAGGAGCTGCTGATGTGTTGGAGAGTTGAGAGTCTCAACAAGAAAGGAAAGATTGTTTGGAGTTCCATCCCGGCAGTTGTGTTTTGGTCCATTTGGACTGAAAGGAATAACAGAATCTTCTGTGGTAAACTTAAAAGCCCGGATGAAATTGTACAGAGAGCCGTGGGGAAGCTATGCTCCCGGGTGTCGGTGAATGAGGAATTTAAAAACCAGAATGCACCCTTTTTGTTTTGTTCCAAGTCTTGGATGAGCTTGTAACTTGCATTGTGCCCAGGCAGATCTAGTGGTCTGGGTCCTGTCGTATCTCTCTTCATTAAGCTGAATAAAGTACTTTACCATTTTCCAAAAAAAAAAAATGTCCACTCCTTTTCCCCACATGACTATTTAAGTCCCCTCCTATAAAAATCTTCTCTTTATTTGGATTTTATTGGATCAATCCTTCTAATTTTTTTTCCAAAATTTCCTTTTAATATTTTTCTTATAAACTCGCTTGAGGTGGATAAGAAATAATTATATTAATTATTTCATCACCTATCTCCAAAATTTCTATTATTTACTTCTCTTGTGTACCATAATTTGTAGCCACTGATTATTGATCAAAAAAAAAAATTGTAGCCATTGATTTCTTTAGTTTTTTTCCCTTTCATTTATTTTCTTATGAGCA